CAGTACAATCTATATCTTCCATTCTATTTAAATATATATACACATTTTAATCGATCAATTTTAGCGTGTCCGCAAAAAGCGCCGTTTAGCTTCATTCAACAGGTCACAAGGGCCTACCATGAAGCCAGTTTAGGTGGATATGTTTCAGGTTATGTTCTGAAGGTATCTCAAGAATGACTCTCTTTACTTGTAAGTTACTTGTTTTCGTTCGGAGAGAACAATGGTTCTAATTTGCTATTTGCATGCCTAGAGGAGGTTAAGAGCTGGATGACTCAAAATCTGCTTCAACTGAACCAGAGTAAAACTGAGATTATGTTTTTTGGCTCTGCCAGAGGATGTTTAGATATGTCCACATATTTGGGTTCATGGTCCGATTATTGCCGTGACCAAATAAGGAACTTAGGTGTGGTGTTTGACCCAGAGCTGAAATTTGACAAGCAGATTAATGCTGTAGTAAAGACTTGTTTTTTCCAGATAAAAATATGGCATGTCGTACCATTTGTATGCGGATGATACTCAGATCTATTTACCTATGAGAGTGGGAGAGAACAATGGTTCTAATTTGCTATTTGCATGCCTAGAGGAGGTTAAGAGCTGGATGGCTCAAAATCTGCTTCAGCTGAACCAGAGTAAATGAACCTGAGATGATGTTTTTTGGCCCTGCCAGAGGATGTTTAGATATGTCAACATATTTGGGCTCATGGTCTAATTATTGCCGTGACCAAATAAGGAACTTAGGTGTGGTGTTTGACCCAGAGCTGAAATTTGACAAGCAGATTAATGCTGTGGTTAAGAGTTGTTTTTTCCAGATTAGGTCTATTGCTCGACTAAAGCCTATTCTGTCAAGAAAAGACTTAGAGAAGGTTATTAATGCCTTTGTTTTGTCCCGTCTGGATTATTTCAATGTGTTGTATGTGGAGTCCTGTCAGACCACTATCTCACGCTTGCAATTAGTTCAGAATGCAGCAGCTAAACTGCTAGTGGGTGCTAAGAAAAGTCATTTTTTTATTGTACAGCACTTTGGTCTGCAGGTGCAGTTGTAAAGTGCTCTGTAAATAAAGTGAATGAATGAATACGTGGATCAGTCTATAGTGCAGACACTGACAGAACGCTATTTAACATTCTGTGTAAGCATAAGATGCACTGTGTCAAAACATCTGTCGTCATGAACAAATATAAATGTGGTATATAAAAAATTTAAATGTCAAATTGAAAAATTTGAAATTTCAAATAATTTTACTATTTTTTTATCAATAAAAGGGGGTAAATGAAGTAATAGCAATAGTTAGTAATAAAAACATGGTAACATTCAAAAATGTTAAACTTTCATGCATGCATTCACTCATTAATGAAAAGTTACTGATTAGATAAAATATGTTTTTAGTTGAAAAATATTAAGCTATGACTCTTTTATAAGCTTAAACGGTGTATAGCTACAGTTTTTTAATGCATTAGGAGGGATTAATTTAAACCGGAAGCTTTAGAGAAAAATGTTAGGTAACACTTTAGTGTAGGGACCAATTCTCACTAAAAGTTGCTTATTAAATATTAGCTGTTTATTAGTACTTCTAAAGCATTTATTCTGCATGACCATATTCTACATCCCTAATCCCAATACCTAAACTTAATTTACTAACTATTAATAAGCAGAAAATTAAGAGCTTATTGAGGCAAATGTTGTAGTTAATGGTTTGTTAATAGCGAAAACTGAACCTTAATCAGGGTTGGAACTGAACTCTGTAGGAAGGTAGATCTCCAGGAACAGGATGCACCGCTGATCTATAACAATACATCTCTTTCACTTTAAATACTTTTCAGCTGCTATAACTTAAGTCTTTGGGAAAATCAGTTATTATACATCTGAAATGGATGCAGTCACCACATAACTAATGTCTGTATTGTCAAAACTGTACAGTAGTCAAAGGGATTTCAAATCAATGGATTTATTAAATACAAAATAGAAAACATTCAATTCAGGTTAATACAGCTACATATAACCAAAAATGTATATACACAAAAGTACAAAAATATCAATGTAAGATTGTAGGATTTTGTCATGTGAAAGTTGATGTGTGTGAACGTCTTATCTGTAGTACATCAATGTCCAAACACTGTCCATAGCTGATGTTGACTGATAGCAAATGAATAACTCAACCTCTTGTAATGAAAACAAGCCACAGCTCTCAAACACCAGAGTCTTCCTAACGAGGAACAATCAAAAATAGTCCAGACTATGGTCTCATGTCGAAAATAACTTTAAATCCATATTCGAACTGGACCATGATGTGGTGACCTCACCAATAAAGAGTCCTTTTAAAATGCATACAAATACACTGTCTTAAACTCTTAGCATCAATCCAAACATAGCCCATACATACATGTACCATCTTTGCAAAAAAACATCAGCAATGTGCACTTTTAAATAGAAAAAAAAAAAAACTCCTTTAGACTGGGTTTGAAATTACACATTTCCCAACCAGGGCTGCGTTCCAGTTCACTTTTTTAATGCCCTTCACTCGCAAACTTCCCTCCGTCTCGTTTACTCGGATATACGTCATTGATTACGTTGCAGGAGTGCCCACTACTGGCGGAACCCATGGAATGGGCTGAACTGGAACGTCCTAAGCCCTTGATCATTTAGAATCCGCTATGGAGATGGTTTATTGTTTACATGTTTCCCTTACGAATTTGTTTGGTGCAGCATTTTATATGTATATAGGTATGCTTGGGCTGTTATAAATGTAAAAAAAAAAAAAAATTATATATTATAGAGTTGTTTGGGGAGGGGATAAATTAAACGCGATTTGCGATGACGTCATAGTCGTGTTGCATTGTGGTCTATGGAGCGGCCTGAAGTGTGCATATGAAGCAGATTCGCTCCCTCGGTCAAAATCGAGAGCCATGCTGGCTACTGCTGCTTGTTATTGCTAACTCTCTCTACCACATGGCTTTACTTAAGGAAACCTAAAACACTCTAGCATCCCTAGTGGTAAGGTAGAAAACTGCCCACAAACTTCTTATTAACAGCCTCATGTCTGGCTCACGCTGGGCCATCATTGGATTAATGTGGGCAGTCCCATAGTGTAGGCTGCTCACAGAGAGCCTGCAGTGAGCCCAAAGCTGTGGGCCTTGCCTGGGCGAGCCCGCACTGGGCCTGTTTAGGTTTGGTGTGGGCTGGCCCTAGCCCACTGTGCCCGCAAAAAGCCAGCATGGCTTGCAAAGGACATGTTTGCAGGGTATGTTGACTTATGTAGTGTGTTGACTTATGTTGAAATTGCATCAGTAACGTTGTAAATTGCATCACCAGGTGTTCAGGGCCCCTGTGCAGTTGAGTCACATTCAGTGAAGATCATTATAGTTTCTCCAGTTCCTGTTTGTGCTCTTTATTCTCCTGTACTGAAACCTGTGTGTGACCTCTGTGCTGACATCGCCATATGATGACAGAAATCACAATCAGAGCCACCAGAATCACCAAACACACTACAACTGGCACAATCCAGTTCCCTAAATATGAAAAAGGGGAAGATGGAAAGAGCAAATTTTTTTTTTAATGTTTTTTTTTTTTCATTATTAAACTCATTGCTTGAGGATTTTGTAAAGCTCTCAATGCCTGTTTTACTTACTGTGTTGTTCAGTGTCCAGTTTTTCCTTTGATTCTAGAGGATATTGAAAGGTAAATCACACCGTTTAGCATCAATTTGCTGTTCAGATCATGATGAATAAACCTCAGCTGTCCAAATGCTTTAAAAATAATATTTCCACATATCTGAGTTTCTCTCACCTGTGACTGTCACTGTGATCAAGATTTCTCCTTCAGTGTCCAGAACTCTGTATGTTCCTGCATCACTGTCTAGAAATGATTTAATGGTCAGAGTCCCATCATTTTCATTCAGTCGATCGCTCTGAACCTCCCTCCACTCTCCACTAGAGCTTGTCTCCACTTTATCAGCATTAGACAACAGAACAGACATCTTTAGCTCCTCGCCTGTTTTCACAGAAATCTCATCTGAGGAGAAACAGAAAGACATTAATTATTATTATAATGCTGTCAATCAATCAAGGCCATAAACACATCTTTATGATTGGTGACCAAATGTAATCATTTAAAAAAGCAGATGTTGATGGTTTGATAAGTTATGAATTTACCATGAATATGAAGTTGGTACGTCCTGATTTGTCGCTTCAGCTCTGTCTGATCATTATTGTAATAGATTCTCATAAAGTATTTCCCAGCGTCACTGAAGCTCAGATTCTTGATGACGACGTCACAGTTTCCTTCTTTAAACGCTCGTCCACTACATTCTTCAGTTTGACACACATCTATGTCTTCTGACTCACTGAATAACTCAATATGAAAAATATTATTGGCCTCAGATTCACATGTTAGTGTGACGTTTCCTCCCTTTTTTCCTGAAACAGGTTTAGATGTGATTTCTGCAAATACAGACAATAAAATTCAATGATTCAATTTAAAGTGTCAATACTGAAAAATACATGTGTTTCTGTCTATTCTCAGTAATTAATGTTATTATAAAATATTCTAATGAGAGTTAATTTAGTCAACTGTATTTTCTTTTGCTGAAGATATTTCTTCACACATCTAAGTGGATTCATCAGCTGAACTGATGGAGGAGTTTCTCTAATATTTAGCATCAGAAATGAATGTAAATATTAAGGATGCTCATTGCTCATCAGAGACATGATCTATTTTGCCTTTGTGCTCTTCATCTAAACACTTAACCTCAGGTTACTTCATTGTCTCTTCATGAAATAAAAGCATTAAATGCTCAATCTCAAGCACTAATGACTAATGAGATCTGGTTGATGAATTAATAGAAAGCAGCAGGTTCAGTCAGAAGTCTAAATGCAGCGACCAGAGGTTTACCTTATAAACTACTTAGTTTGAACTCTTTCCTGTTTTTACCAAAAAAGGACAGCAATTGTTTATAATAATGAACACAGCACTAAAAAAGTGACTTTGCAGCAACCAGATATTTGTTATAAAAAATAGATTTAAATATAAAAAAGGGCAATAAGAGCGAGCGATATTAGCAGTGGCACATTTTAACATTTCAAATTATGATAAAACATAATATAAAGCTGTAGCAGATGTGCGAGTGCAGTTGTAATGAATTCCTGAACAATGTTTATTAATAAATGAACTGCATGATAAACCAGTGAACATTTCCACCATCAATCCACAAATGTTAACAAAAGTCTTCACTGAGTGACACAACAGAGAAATAATTCACTAGAATAACTCTAGCTGACGCTGAACACCAAGAATAAATAGAGTTTATAAACATAAATGACACTGACTGCTGTGATAGACGAGACAAAGCAGCAGAAGATTCAAGCATCTGAACCTGATGAGAATAAGAGCTGTTATGAGACAGATACAGACACACATCACAAACACATTAATACAGCCATAAAATACTGTGCTGAGAGATAACATACTGCTGAGTGGAAAAATATTACAGAACTGACCACAATACAGCGACTACAAACCTTCAGTTTCAGTTTTATTTAAATATTTAAAGGGGTCAGGGGCGGATCTAGAAAATAACTTTTAGGGTGGCAACACCAAAGCAAGCCCCCATGCATCATTTTTGGGGATTTATGGTCTGACCTACGCAGTTGTGTTCACAAATATTGTATTACCATTAAGTAATCATCTACACTGTTTAAAATCAAAAATAAATAACAACATTTCAATATCCATCATGGCACCAAGTCAATACCCAACATAAAAACTTAAACGGGTTATAAATGTTTCTGAGCTTGTATCACCAAAGACATGCGGTTCTATTAAAATTAAATAGGTTACTTAGATGGTATAATCACGTTTTAGTGCAAGTTTAAGAGCAACAAAAACTTGAATTTGCTAACATTAGAAAGAAATACAATAATATCAAAGCACTGAAACTGGATCTGTTTTGAAAACAATGTTTGATTTTCTCTTATGAACAGAGGTGGGAATGTCTGTAATCACCCAGAACAAACTCTATCAACCATATACTCTGGCAACAACCCAGCAACTGCATAGCAAGAACCTAGCAACCACCCAGAATATCCTAGCAACCAACTAGCAACACTTTAGCAAACATGTTGGTGTTTTTTCAATGTATGCTTCAGACACAGGTCACGACGAGGCGTTCCCCATAGCGACCCCTAGAGGGCGCAGTGTCTCGTTCCCTACTCAGGGAACCATGGTTACATAAGTAACCCAAGACGTTTTCATTTTACTACTGTAAAGTAATCTTGTAGTAAATGAAAAGCAATAGAAAAGTTAAAATACCAAAGAATTGTATGAACTTGGTATGCACCACAATACAGTACAGTAAAAAATAAAATTTAAAAAAGTAAATTTAGCATCCTCTGCACATTCTGCCAAATTTCATTACACTATACAGTACTATAGCAGTTTCTTGGTCTCCTGACACAAGACTATATCTCTAGGCAGTCATTTCTCAGTTCTGCAAAAATGCAGTACACATAAAAAATGGTTACAAACTAAATTTGACAGTCACATGCTTGAAGGTGTACAACATGTGCTACAGTTTACTCTACATATAGAATAGTGAAATTTCCATGATCTAATGTACTGGCACTGAACTATAATTATACTGTGTAAGTAGGCCTATAAAACCCCTGTAGATCATGATTGGCTCAGCTCTCTCCTCTCTCCGTTGTTAGGATGCAGAGATTCTGATTGGTGTGTCATCAGTCATCAGTTAATTGTTTGGAAAAAAAGTGCCAACTAAAATCAGTTCTACCAGAAAGACTCAGGGGGTGAACATAGAACTCCAAAGTATTTATTTACAAAACCAATGCAAAGAACAGAATTATTTTGGCATAGGCCCCATCCGTAGCTTGAATCAGACATTGTAGATTCCAACTATTCCTGCCGAAGACGAAGGCAGGGCGGAGTTTTGGCGTAGGCCCCATCCGTAGCTTGAATCAGACATTGTAGATTCCAGCTATTCCTGCCGAAGACGAAGGCAGGGCGGAGCCTACCCCCAAAAGAAAGAAGAAAATGAAATACCCACCAGACGAAGTATTTATTAAGATCCTAGAACATATGGACAAAAGAAAAGAAAAGATAAGATTTAATTAGTCATAATGTACGACGAGCGTTAAAGAATGTATCAGATGATAGCTTAAAGTATTAGCTTATAGAGTAGAGGAGATGGGCCACAGAGGCCTCAGAGAGAGAGGCCACGATAGGCCGGATAGTGATAGGGGCCACGATAGGCCGGATAGTGATAGGGGCCACGATAGGCCGGACAGTGATGGGGCAACGATAGGCTGGACAGTGATAGGGGCCACGATAGGCCGGACAGTGATAGGGGCCCCGATAGGCTTCAGTGGGAAAAGGCCCCGATAGGCCTCAGTGGGAAAAGGCCCCGATAGGCCGCAAAGAAAGGCCACAAAGGCCGCGGAGAAAAAGGCCTAGATAGGCCACAGATGGAGACGCCCAGATGGGCGTTAGAGAGGCCATTGGTTTAGGTTAAATGATAGAAGTAGTATTAGGGTTCTAACAGTGACTTAAGAAAGAGCATATACACAGATACATGAACATTCGTTAGGCTAGACTCCTGCGCACGCTTGATAGAACTCCATCTAACTGCCGGAACCCACAGAGGAAACCTATCCCCCAAAAATAGAAAATGAGCCAGATCTGCATGACCATAAGTAGAAGAGATACTCAATGTTAAGCGCAGTCCCCGATAGGCTGTGATATGTGAAGCCCACGATAGGCCGAACTTCATAAACGGTGATGGACAAACTTACCTGATGACCACCATAGCAGAGTTATGCAAAGTGCCACGATAGTCCGTGTAATGTGAAGGCCACAACAGCCGAGTAAGTCCGAAGCCAATAGGTATGAGGAAACAGAATGAACCACCACCAGTAGATGAAAGCCTTGATTATAGCTTAAAGATGCCTGCGGAGCATTGAGCCAAATCTTACCTAGAACTCGAATGGGAGAATGACCGTGTATACATCAGCTTGATAGATACTGGGTTCATAATAGCGCCAATCCAAAAGAGTGACCTGTGTAAAGATGAAGAGAGAGCCACGGTTCTCTGCATCTGCAGCCATGGAATCTAAATGATTGCATTGTAATGAAATGCCAAGATTAGTAAAATGATCAAATGTAGTTAAGTTTTAAGCAGAAAGCATGAAAATGCTTAAGCATAAATATCGGAACTGTAAAACAGAACTATTCTCTGGCTTAACTCCCACAAAAGCTTGATAGACTCCAGATCGCATGAAATACAAGTTAAAGAAATATTAGGAATGTATGAAACTAGGACGAGATAAATTAAATATTGTTACATTACCCTTGCAGAAGGATAAGAACGGACTTTAAACTAAAGCAGACGTCATGAATGAGCATACACTGACCAGGACGTTAAAGTCATGTGGCACAACTAATTTTTAACAGAACTGTAGTAATTATAACCTCTAAGTCCAAACATTGACGAGTTGAGGAAATCCAGAGAGGAAGTCATGTCTATAGACAGGAAGTACGTAAAACACAGACAATAGAAAGCCTTGACGAGTACATATGTACCAACATATAATATACACTCTCGTTTAGATCATCAGAAGACTAATTCATAGATACTAAACATGGTAGGATTACATATAGGTAAGATGACAGGAACGAGTGGTTCCATCATAAGCCTGCATAAAACAGTATACAATATAAAAGACAATATACAAGGACAGTAACAACATACACAATGACCTGAAGGATATGTGTGTTCATTCAAAGAAAGGTTTTCCTATGAATTAATTAGAGAAGAGTCCATTTTTACTGTGCATTGTGTCTTTCCTATGGAAAATGTAGTGAGTTTCTCTACCCACATTCCTTTGGGCAATAAAACCAGTGATATCAGCATTGGTTGCCATGGAATCAGAGGCCTGTTCGTTCGCAGACATCCTGGCACCTAGCATGTTTATTGGGTGAGGGGGTCTGTGATTATTTGTTAATCTAATGAATAATTGATTTGTTAAATCAAATGAAAAATGGTGTGTCTGATTGGTCCAGACGCTACAGTGCATTGGGAAAACTTTCATGTTTGAGCATAGCAAGAAAACATGTCCGTTTACATTCTTATTCAGAGGACACTTATGCAGAAATAGACAGCAAGGACCTCTTTGCAGAAATGGTCTACGCAACAGGAGAGACTTAAGTCGTAATACTTACCCTATTCCAGTACAAGGCATTCAGGAATTCTTGTAGATAGACACGAATGAAACAATGACTGAAGAAACAAAGACAAAAGCATATGATTAAGACTACAAATACCTTACAGTGTGCTAGACATAGCGTATTTTGCGAGCAACAATTAAGGGTGCTTTCACACTTGGTTCGATTGCTTGGTCCGAACCCGAGTTTGATTGCTCCCCCCTCCCCCTGCCCCCGCTGGACTGTGTTCACATTATATTATTTGGGTCCGAACTGCGGTTCGTTTACGTCATCAAGCCAGCAGCTGTTTACCCCATTGATTAGTAACGAAGGCGCAGGAGAAGGCGGCAAAATGCGTAGCATTGCTCTCTTCAATTTTATATTTATGCTTTTGAACCGTTGGTTTTGTTTCCAAAGCTTCAGTACTTAACGGCACTTACGTCTGCCTTACTGCAAATGCCCTAAAGAACTCTGAAGGCGAACAGAAATTAGATATACAGCTCTCTGCTTGCAGCGCGTCAGTCACGCTCGACAGGAAAGCGAGTGAAACACACACAAACCCAAATTTTTATCAAATAATACGTCATTAATAGCGGTTCACTTCCGTGATTTGGTACGATTGCGTTCACATCAGCAGCGAACCGTACCACAGTTCACTTGAACCGTACCTCAGACCACCCCTTTTAAGCGGACTCGGGTACAGTTCGCGGGTGCGCACCCGAGTTCGGAAGACCGCGTTCACATCATCCAAACGTACCGAACTCTGACGTCAATCGAACCCAGGTGCGCACCAAAAGTGCTAGTGTGAAAGCACCCTAAGTCTTCCTAGTAGAACTTGCGCTGACGCTTCCATTTATATGTTAACAATCGAGAAAACTGCAATATGACTAGATTCTTACCTAACTCTGCTATTAGTTTCCGTGATCGGCATCTTCTTATTGATTTCATGTTATTGTTACGGTTTATATCCATGATGAAAGTAGAGCGAGCGGTCGGAGAATCGGATCATCAAACAATTGATGAATCTCAGACATATCCGGACGGGATTAGATTTCTCAGAGGACTGCTGAGTTACCTGAAAAGCAGTAATTATCTGATTCACGAACAAATGCATAAACAATTCGTTAGTAGTGAACTGGGCCACGCTTTGTGGTTTTGACTCCGGTTCATTGACACAGTTTGGACTAGGGATGTAACAATAAGAGTCATTTGTTAATGAAGCCGACTACTACACTGGCACGCTGCGTGCGCGTGCAACCATCGTGCTGTTTATTGAAAGACGTGTTTTTTTGCCATTATTTTGCGTTACTCT